CGATTGGCTACCGCTTCTGGGGCACGTGTGTGAGCATGCGTAGTGCCAACATTTCGTGCAAAATATGTATGATGGTATTCAAACCTTGATTACCAGACCCCCTAAGGATACGGATTGTTTGCATCGAACTTAATCTGAATACATTTTGTTATTTTACTCACCACTTGGATTTCCAAGTTTAAATTAATGAGTCAAAACAAAGTACTGTCTAGACGAACGGTTCTGCGCATGCGTCAACTAAAGTAACATCGGAACCGGGCGGCTCAAAAAAACAGAAGAAATTTAACCCGCCGAGAGGAAAATACGGAAGTAATATGTCACCGAGGGTTGGCATGAAAGCAGATGGAGCAAAGGGAGCCGAGAAACAGGACAGGACGAAAGTGGACGAAATGCTATCGGCATCCAGTGAAAGTGCGGAAGGCCAGAATCAAATAATACAAGATGGCGACCTCCAAAAGGCAATGAAGTTATCCAGTAAAGATCGGTCGGAAATGATGTTGAGATTGCTTTTCTCGATAAGGGAGGCAGTAGACAAGATTGAACCTATGAATCGGCAGATTGAGGAGACAAAACATAAAGTCTCGGAATTAGAAGAATCATTAAATCATATCTACGAATGGGTAGAGGATATCGAAAAAAGAGACCGCAGCGGGGAGACACGTGACAAGATGGTGGACAAACTGAAATTAAAAGTCCGGGAAATGGAAACCAGACTGAGTGATTCAGAAAACAAGAACGACGATTTGGAAAACAGATCGCGACGAATGAACTTAAACTTCCATAACTTCCCAGAAGGAGCAGAAAAACACGAGAAATCGTGTTCAGAATTTATAAAGAAATTCGTCTTGAATCATATGAAGGTCAGAGGTGTCGAAAACCACGTGGCCATTCAAAGAGCTCATAGAGTGCCTTCGTTTCCGTTGCGGTCTGGTAAGCCAAGACGCATAACAGTAGCATTTGTTGACGCAAGTGTATCAAGATCAATATTATTTGCAGCTCCAGGCACACTTAAGAACAACAAGTTCGAAGGAAAGGACATCTTCATAACAGATGACGTGAGTCAAAAAATTATCCAAGATAGGAAAAGATTGATTAAATTTCGTAAAGACTACCAGAAGGAGAATCCAAATAAAAAGAGTTATATCTCATGGAGGGTTCCAGCTACGTGCATGATAGAAGTAGAAGGAAAAATGAAAGCGATTATGGTGAAAGATCTAGAGGAATGAAAGACCACGAGAAAGGAAAGAAGAAGAAAAGCCTAAGAACTTTGTAAGTTTTATCAGCTATCACAGTGTTGAACAGTTCTATAAGGTTTTTTGGAAATTATTTTATTATCTTGTATGCTAATTCCTTGGTGCTATATATGAAGTGGTACTATCTGAGTTAAAGGCGGAGAGAATAAGGATTAAAATAATGAGGTTACCGAGCCGTCCAATAGCGCAGTATCTTGCCTTAAATATCTTAGATTATGTCTATGTTGTTTTTACCGTTTCTTTTGTTAGTATGTTTGTTAGTGTTTTGTGTTCACGAAAAATGGGTGCTACTATTCTTAGGAAATTCCTGTAAAAGCCAAAATATTATGTATGGACTTACAGTTATCAATTCTATCACTTAATACGAGAGGGAGGAGAGATTTTAAAAAGAGAAAAAAGATATCTAATTGGATAAAAGCAAAAAAAGTGGATGTGGTTTTCTTGCAGGAAATACACAGTGTGCCAGCGGATGAACAATTTTGGTCAGCTCAATTTAGGGGCAAAATCTGGTATTCACATGGCTCTAATAACAGTAAGGGGGTAATGATTATTGACCGAAATTTAGCTTTGGAGGCTTTAAATATTGTACAAGATAATGAGGGTAGACTTCTTGTTGTTGAATGCAAGATCAATGGATCGCCTTTAATCTTAATGAATACTTATGCACCAAACAGAGAATCGGAACATAAACAATTCTTAGGAAATTTGAGGGATAGACTTGTGGATTTAAATATAAACCCAGACTGTGCAGTTATATGGGGAGGGGACTTAAATTTCACAGTAAACAACATGTTAGATCGATCGGGCAGTGATGCAAGACCTTGGAAGCACTCCATTAAAATATTTAATGATGTCTTAGACCAGTTTAATTTGATAGATATATGGAGGGTCAGAAACCAGAATAAAAAACATTTCACCTGGCGACGCAGGCATCCTTTCATACAACAGAGTAGATTAGACTATTTCATAATATCGGATGTTTTACAAAATGTAACAAAGAAAATAGAAATAATACCAGGAATAGCCTCGGACCACTCAGCAATAGTATTAAGTATCGATGATAAAACTCAGAAACGTGGGCCTGCCTACTGGAGATTTAATTCAGCTTTAACAAGAGATGAGAAGTATAATAATATATTAAAAGATAAAATAAATGAATGGACAGAGGAAATGAAAGAGATAGAGGATAAAAGATTGTTATGGGATATGATTAAATATAAAATTAGAAATTTTACAATTGAATACAGTAAGAAAAAGTCCAAAGAAAATAAAGAAAATTTAAAGCAATTAGAAAATAAAATAAGGGCAGCACAGGTCAGCTGTTCGGTTAATCCTAATATGGAAAATTATTCAATCCTTGAAGATTTAACTAGAGAATTAGAAGAACTCTATAATGTTATAACAGAAGGCTCAATCATACGCTCTAGAGCGATATAGTATGAGAAAGGTGAGAAAAACAACAAGTATTTTTTGAGCCTGGAGAGAGCAAACAAGAAAAGATCTACTATTAAACAGCTGAGAACAAGTGAATTTACAGAGATTAGCCAAGAACAGGACATTTTGAAAGAAATTAAATCATTTTATACAAATTTGTGCAGACAAGAAAATCTTAATAGACAGGAAATTGAAAGGTTTCTGCAAAATCTGGATATTCCTAGGCTGTCTGATCGGTCACAAGATATATGTGAAGGAAAATTGGGGACAGGAGAGGTATTTAATATTTTACCACAAATGAAGGAAAATAAAAGTCCCGGGAATGACGGGTTGACGGTTGAATTTTATAAGGCTTTCTGGCCTATGGTAGGGAAGCTAGTTGTTGATTCACTTAACTATGCGTTTGACAAGGGTGAATTCTCAGAGTCCCAAAAACAAAGTATGATAACCCTAATTGAAAAGTCTGGTCGGGATAAATTATATCTGAAGAACTGGCGCCCCATTTCCCTAATGAACGTAGACATCAAAATGGCCTCCAAGTGTCTTGCGAAACGTCTTGAACAAGTAATACCCCAGTTAATAGGTCCTGCACAGGCGGCCTTTGTTAAAGGACGTAATATAAATGATTATGTAAGATTGATAGATGAGATATACCATTATACAAGGGAAGCCAATCTGGGAAGTATCCTACTGGCAATAGACTTTGAAAAAGCGTTTGACACGGTAAATTGGGTGTATCTTTTCAGAGTTATTGAACAATTTAATTTTGGGCCAACATTCTATAAGTGGATAACTACACTGTACAGTAATATTAAAGGGTGCGTAATGAACAATGGTTCAGTACAGGCTATTTTGAATTGAGAAGGGGAGTGAGACAAGGTGATCCCTTGTCTCCAATGTTATTTGTGTTAGCTTTAGAACCTTTATTGCTAGCAATAAAAAAAAGCCATGATATATCCGGAATTAAAATACGGGAAACCGAAATTAGAGCTGCAGCATTTGCTGATGATATGACGTGTTTTGTATCAAATGTGGAATCCGCTGGCGCACTGTTTGCCTTGCTTAATATATTTAGATCTTGTTCAGGGCTGAAAATAAATAAAGAAAAATCAGAGGGAGCTTGGTTAGGAAAATGGAGAAATAAAAAGGAAAGCATGTTCGGGGTGAAGTGGCCCACGTCTCCCATCAAAATAGTGGGAATTCATTTTTCGTATGATAAAAGGGATAATTATGCAAGAGATGTCAATAAGGCAGTGAGTAACATGAAAATGATCTTCAATTCTTGGAAACGAAGAAAACTGTCCTTATTTGGAAAAGTTCTGATTATAAAAACATTTGGAATATCACAATTCTCGTATATTCTAAATTCAATTACCCTGAAAAAACAGACTATTCAGGAAGTGCATAAAATTATGTATGAATTCCTGTGGGAAGGCAAAGACAAAATAGCTAGAAGTACAATGATGGGAGGCGTGGGCCAGGGAGGTCTGGCTATGCCGAACCTGTATATCATGAAAAAACAACAAAGGATCCTTTGGATCAAACATTACTTAGATCCGGACTTTAACCATCCCTGGAAACTCTTTCTAGACAAGCAGCTTGAACCAGTGGGAGGGGAAATGATCTTCAGGTGCAATTATAATACTAAGGTTTTGCCGGTGAAACTGAGTGAATTTGTCACAGAGACCTTAGATATATGGGCACAAGAAATTAAAGTTTATAAACAGGGTAAAGATCAAATCATATGGAATAATGAAAAAATACTGATTGGGGGAAAATCGGTATATATGGAGGACTTCGTCCGAAATGGAATAATGAAAGTATCTGATCTTTTTGACGCAAATGGTTTGATACCGTGGCAGTCAATAGCACAGGAGGAATTTACCCTAATACATAAATTAAGATGGCTAGGTTTAGCATCAGCTATTCCTGGGGATCTAAAGTATGGAGAAGCAGATCTGGAATCTACTTATTTCAAAATTACAGGAATTCCTATGGATCTGGAAACCTTAACTAAGAAAGCTATCAAAAATGAGTTATGTGAAAGGTCATTTGTTATTCCTACAAGCCAAAACAAACTACAAATGGAATTGAGGGAGGGGTGCATGGAATGGGGAAAAAGATATAAACTTATGATGAAAATGACAACTGAAAGCAAAATGAGAGAATTCCAGTTCAAGCTCCTTCATAATATTTTATATACAAACCAAAAATTACACAAAATAAACCCTCAGAAGTATATGTCAGCCCACAGTGTACATTCTGTGACGGGGAAGTCGAAAGCTATGAACATTTGTTTTATGAATGTCAATATGTTATATCTCTCTGGAGTGAAATCCTCTTTTGGTGGGGGGAACCACTTAAATTAAAGTCACCACCAAGTAGATTGTGTATGATTATATCTAACCCAGATGATACTTTGATTGTAAACTTTTTATCTCTGTTGGTAAGAAAACATGTATACTTTTGTAAAATGAAGGAAATGAAGCCACATTTCGTTGGCTTCCTATCTTACTGTAAAAGAATTTACCAATATGTAGATAAAAAGAGGTACTACTATATATGTATAATAGATTACAGGAAAGACACATGTATTTCAT